AGAGCTTTATTTTCAAATCTAATTTAGTTGAAGACACTGCTTTGATTCTGACATGATGGATGATTGTGGCTGCGTCATCTTCAATCTCTCTTTGCAAACTCAAGTTGGTTTCTGTTATACTACTTGAGTTTGAGTGGGGATGTTGAGATATTTTAGAGTTCTAGTTTAGATTTAGTAGATTTAGATTTATATTTTGTTTTATTCATAGATTAGATTATTTAGATTTGAGTCTATAAATCTGTTTTATATTGCCTATATATAGGACTCTATTTTAGTGGTCAATAACAATGCAATTTTATAATTTTCATAATTTATTTTAACGGGACTCACGATGGAGCTGGAAATAACGACACTCTCGTGGAGTAAAAAATAACAGCACTCTCAATGGAGTTGGAAATAACAGGACTTTTGATGGAGTCGAATATAACGAGACTCTCAATGCAGTCAGACATATAGCTCTGGAGAAACATAGCAGATAGATCACAAGCAGATGCGCATACATGACTATTCAATTCAAATGCAGATGGAAACTAAAACTCTAAAATATCTCAACAAGTCTCTTTCAATCCATAGGTAACTGAGATGTCGATTTTTTTCTAAATTATGGATCTCATTTGGAAACTTGGTAGTTATGCTCCAACGTCGCCGCCAAATTTTAATTCTAATGAGAATCATAGATAAATAATAAAAATATGGATTCTATAAAATTTTGCAATTCAATCTAACCTTGACAAATTTTAAATCTACAGTAGCATCTTTCCATCATATAGAGGATCTTCAAACAAATAATTTTTACCTATAAAAACATAAATACTCGATCCACTTTATGATAGTGATGATTCCACTTCATTTTTCATTATTTTGTTTCATTAGAACTTACGCCAACTCATACTTGAATTAAGTCCATATTAGAGATGAAAATGACAAAGTAAAGTCAGGAAGGCTTGCTCGGGGAACTTCTATCACTAGATGACTCCATTCTATGGTCTTTCTTAGGATGGTGTTCTCCCTTCAATATTTTGGGCCACAAGTTTATACAAATTTCAAATCCCTATCGGTGGCTCTCAAAACCTACCGATCGAGCCCAATGGTCATGACCTTTTACCCAAACTAAAGCACAACCCAGCTGACCGAGACCCAATCAATGGACGTAAATCTGAGAATAAAGTAGTAAGGGAAGTGACAGAAATGGATATACCATCCACGATTTCCGCCGATTGGAAGAAAAAAATCAAAAGCAAAAATGGTAGCAATCAATCCAATTAAAGTGAAAATTTTTATCCTAATCTTGATCCTAATTGTCTTTTTCAGTTAGGATAATTTCTAGAAAAAAAATGAGGGGAATGAAAAGGGGTAGTCGATCTTTCCCAACAATTAGTTCTTTTATCTCAAATTTGTAGTGGCTTTCGTATTTATCTTTCTTCTAATTCAATTCTAGAATTTTCTACTCTTATTTTTTATCAAGCTTTTTGTTACATTCATAATTTAATTCGATCCCTAATGACCCAATTTCCCATAAGCTCGCTTTAATTCGATTTATCTCACCTCCAAATAATTTGACACAGTTCTGAATTCTTACTAGAGGAAGCCGAAGAATCTATAGAATAATCTTCTGGATCGACATCAAATGAAAATTAGCTCATCTCACTGAACAATAATAGATGGAAAATGAAATCAAATGATTTTCTAACATCTAAGATAAAAAGGAGCTCGTCTTACTGGGCTAGAGAAAGATGCCAATGTTTGGGGAATGAGATCCTCAAAAGGTGTCAATTCAAGATATGAGACCAACACAAGAAAAACCAGTACAAAAGACACAAAACAACTAACTAGTCTCATACGACACACCATTTGGTCAGAAATTTAATATGATCTTGAGAAAGTTAATCAATCCAACACTTAGAAGGGTATTTGTTACCACCGACCTAAGGCTCAAAGACAAAAAACCAATTTCTAAGCCCAATAGAGAGTACATCTCGAGATCCAAAAGGTTTAAGAAAGGAAGGTAATTTGTCTCATGTACTTAGTAGCCCATACCCAATGAAAAAAGTAGTGTAGAAAGTTAATATCGTGAATCTTTCAGTAATCTTCCCGTAGTGTAGAAAGTTAATATTTGTGTTGTACCTCTCAGGGCAAGTCATGTCAGTTCATACTCTCCTGTTTTGCAGGGATCTAGCCACACCGATTGACGGTCAGAGACGCTGGGGATTGATGTCCACAACCCATTGACGGTCAAGCATTTTTCGTTGCTAATTTTATTTTTATTCATTAACTGAATCACCCTTTACATAAAAATATCCACTAATAATACATCGCCATCATCTTTGAGACCATTATTGACATTTGGAAACATTTTTCATATAGATCGCGTCTCATGTCCTTATGATCTCTCGTGAGTTGGAAAAACGCATTGTTGGTAAGAGGGTGTTGCTGTCCGATCCTACCCCAAGTTTTTGGTTTACTTGGCGATGTTCTCTATATGAGTAAAAATAGTTATACATGATGTGGTGACAATGTTATTTATGTGGAACTGTAATTGGGTGACTATTTGTTCCGTATCGCCTTGTTGGGGAGTATATACATTTATAATTAAATATTATTGTTGAGGTTGGTGGATAATTAATTTTATCCCCAAACCACTTTGTTTTTTGTTCTAATTCAAAGTGTTTGGTATTTGGATATATTTACACTCAATTAATTGTTTTTGTTAAATCGATACATGTCTAAGTTGGTTGTTTAAATAAGCAACTTTCACATGTATCAAATAAATTGATTATGCTGCTTGTTGTTTTATAATTGTGATATTTTACAGATGTTGGTGTGGGTGTCATCAAGATAGGGTCTATGCTATAATTATATTTATGTTATTCTATATTTTGTTGTTTTTACATATCCTGAAATGTTTGATTTAATTTCTTTATATTTTATAGCGATTAAATACTTTGTGAGATGCATTTTGTTTCCGATGATATGCACATATTTTTTTTTTTATGTTTGTAGGTGATACCATTGACATAGTGAAGGTTCTTTTCATGGCTGCTACCGTTCCGGAGGCCGCGCTTATTCTACGGACGACATCTAGAGCACAGATACTCGGTGATGTTGTCCACATTGAGCTAATCGACTGGACATTCAAGGATGTACATAACAATATTTATAAGACTTTCTATTAGATTATAACTTAACTATCTCGCAAGTAAATTCTTATATACTTTTCTGCTATGTTGGTAGCTCGTTCGTTGCCCGTAACTGCCATGTACATTCAATTTGACGTTGCATGGGGCGTGGCAGTGTGTCACGTAATTCTATGATGATTAAATTTTATTTTTGGATTGATGTTGACCTCCTTTCCGTTGACTGAATTTGCATTTTCTTCTTTCTCTTGTATGTTTATTTTTACGCTTTGTCGTATATGTTAGGCCGAATTGCAAAATAGTTATGTTCCTAGACAGTGCGTACTTGGTGCAAGTGATATTTTATGTAATATCCTTATATTTTTTAATGTCATTTGAGAGTATTTTCTCATCGTACATCTTATTATTGAAAAAATAAAGATGTTTTTTTTTTGTTACAAAATTGTGGCTTTCACAAATACCGGTACAAAAAATATCAATATCATTTAAAATAGCTTTTTGACAATCAACTATTGTAACAAAATTTATACCGTAACAAGTTCCGTTACAAATAGATGAATATTTAATGTAATGATTCTTTTATTACGAGAAATGTCCGCTACAAATAAATCAAAAATTCAAAGCTCGCGTTACAAAAACTATTATAATAAGTGCTTTATAAGTGCATTGACTGTCCACTTTTTGTAAGAAAAAAGTTGGTACAGAGGATTTTTGTAGCTCGAGCATATGCACCGATCAAAATTCGTTATAAAATTATAAATAATTTTTTATAACAAAAAATTGTCATTTATAGCGGTTTTATAACCACTACAAATGACCATTTTTTATAGTGAAACTGATAAGACAAAGTCAAAAGAAAGTTAAAAATAATGGGCTGAATTCTACACAAGTGGAAGAATGATTATACACAAACAACACCAAAATTACATCAATACATAAAATTTTACTATTCATAACAATATTTCTTTCTAAAAGAATATCAAATTAAAAATCTCTTCTTTAAATTTATTATATTATACTAAAAATTAATTTTACATTCAAAATATCACATCAAAATTTATTTATATCATATCATACAATTATTTTAATTTAAATTTTTTACTATTCAAAACCCCAAAACAAATGACAAACTCCAAAACAAATATTTATTTGATTAGATTCTAGAATATGTTTTAGTCATCTTGCATAATTCCTTTTGTCTTTCAATGCTTTTATTTTCGTTGTTTTTTCTTCTCTTTTATACATTTAATTTAAAGTATGGAAGTCTAAACATCAATGGTTTCTTAAATAGAGCTAGGGTTTGTTCACTCAATTTTTTTACTAATACAATATTATTAAAAAATATATAAAATATAGATATAACGATATACGATATATAATATATATAATATATTCACTTATAAAAAAGTAAATAACTCAACCAACCAAAGTATTAATTGTTTATATTATTGAACAGTTACCAATACCTAACATAAAAATTATATCAATCTAAAAATAAAAAAACAATAAACACCCTAGGAACCCATTTTGATAACCTTCGTCTCAAATATGATAGACCATCTAAAGAAAAAATTGTATGTTTTGACAAGTTTATCCTTCTTCTTCACGCAAAACTCCAGGTTGAGGAGTTACTCGGAATGTTACCAAGATATCAACATCTTTAGTTTGGTATTCAGGAGTATAATAAGTAAATTTCTACTCTTTAACACCTATTTTGAAAAAAAAAAAAATCACTTACTTTAGTCTTTGTTTGTGGTGACTTTCCTTCTTTGATTATCTTTGCTTTCTATTTTCTCTTTTTACTCTAAAGCTAACCTTATTGTGTAGGTGTTATTGTGTGGGTGTAATTGTATAAGAGAAAAGGAGCAAGAAAAGAGCTGGTATTCACTTAGTTTGCTTCTTTATTGGCATCATGTCACTTGTTGATGTCTTTCTTGTCCCCTCCGCTACGAAACTCGCAGTTTAGGGTTCATTGTGAAATCAAGATCCTTACTTTATCTTTTGAAGATCTTGTGTACGTTGGACACCGACTCCTAAAGAGCAATTACAATGGAAAATAGAGAAAATGGCCTCGTCAGCCTACATGGCTAGGCCACGCAATGCACTTTTGATTGGTGAAAGAATTAAATTGTACAATAGCCTTTTTTAGATGCAGAAATACGAAGAGACTTCATTCCTTCCAAACCCTATTTTTCTTCCTCAATTTATTCTTTACAACAGCAATTTCAAATCCAGAAGTTGTGGGGAGTGTCTGTTCGAATCGAACCCTTAGCTTGAGAGACCCAAAGATGTTTCTTGATATCCAAAGATCTCCAATTTATCAAAGCAATTACGTCCAAGATTCAATCAAAGCCAAAATTTAAATAAAAAAATGCTGAAAACTTACCGGTAGAGACGACAATCCTCATCCTTCGTCGGAGAAAATCGACTTCGAAAGAGGCTGGAGAAGAATACCGCACATGCGAATGAAACTGGGTTGGGGAAGAATAGAAAAAAGGAACGAGGAGAGGAGAGAAGAGGAGAGGAGAGAGAATAAAATTTGACTTCACCTTAAACAGCTTTCGTATAAAGGGCTTTGATGTAAAAATAGAAGTTTTTCTTTAAAAATGGCTATACAATTATTTTTTTGTAGAGTGAAAAAAATGAGATGGCTTGGGAGTGATCCGGTGCAGTTCTCTCTTCCCATTTCTTCTTTCTTTCCTCCACTTTTTCTTTAAAAATGGCTATACAATCTGTTATATTTCTCTCTCATCATCTTCTCCTTGTCTCTTTTTCTTTCTTCTCTCACCATTTCTCTCACTATCCTCTCTATTGAATGTTTTTTTTTCTTGCTAAATAAAAGTCATTACGATATTTTTTTTAATTTTAGACAGTTTTGAATTAGGGTGTGTTTGTTTGGAGATTGGATTGAATTTATACTATTCATCCAATTTTTTTCCCCAAAAACATCAAATCAATACACTTATTTTTTATTTTTTATATTATACTAAAATTCAATTTTACATTCAAAACATCACATCAACACCTATTTATATTACATCATACAACTATTCAAATTCAAAAATTTTACTATTCAAATCCCAACTCAAAATCTAAACCCCAAACAAACACACACATAGAAGACTAGGACACATCAGATTTTAGAGATTTTTTTAGATTAAACCATTGCAATTGCTCTTTTTCGCCTCCAAGAGGCCACACCGACCGGAGGGCAAAATTTGGACCGCCAGATGAGGACCACTGCATGGTGTGATTTTCGATTGTTGCCTCCAGAACGAAGGGAATGGCAACGAGAGCAATTGTAATGGCTCATTGTTTGCCGGCCTCTCCGTCTGATTCAAGCACTTTTTTAACAAATTCGAAAAATATGACATGCAGTGACTTTAATCTTCAGTGTAAAAATAACGAAAGCCTTGAACATGACATGGTGCAGAAGAAGCTATGTCCAATGTATTTTTCTGTTCTTTATACTTCTCTCTCCTCTCTCCTCTGCTTTTTTTATTTATTTTTATTTTATCTCTCATTCGTCTCTCCATATTCTATTTCTTTCTCTTTCTTATTATTTTCTTCTCTCTCTTTATTTCTCTTTCCCTTCTACCTTCTTGCATATGAAGCCATTGGATAGGAATTTATCATTTCACTGGATGTTAAATATCTGGATTTTGACACATCAGATTTAAAACAGATTTAGAAGCTTTTTAAAGAAAAACCATTGTGGTTGCTCGCCGTTGCAATTGCTCAAGCTGATCCCTCTACTTCTTATGCAACTGTTATAATTGATTATAAGTTGTTTGGTTACCAAATCAAATTTAAGTTGGAAGTTGCATATGAGGAGATTTATATTTTAATATTTGATTTTGTGACTAATAAATATCAAATTAAAATATTTTAAATATATGTTTTAAGTATTTTCAAAATTAGGTCGCAACTAACTCATTTATTATTTAAGTTTTGTAACTAAAGATTATTTTAAAATAGTTTCGCACCGGCATGGCATGCCGACAGACACATACCGGCTAAGTCAACGCCACATGGCAGACACAAGTCCGTCACATGGATAATTTTTATTTTTTAATTTGTTTACATATAGAAAATTTAACAAAGCAAATATAAAAACTAAAATAAAAAAAAAACAAACTATAAACATGTAAAAATTAAAAATTAAATATAAGATATAATATTAAAATGAAATAAATAAATAAAAAATAAAATTATTCATATGTTCCTCAAGTCAGCGCTACGTGGCCTTTAATAATTTATATATTAGTATAATTTTTAATTATATTTTATTTTTCATATAAAAAATAAAAATTATCCACGTATCGGCCACATGGCGCTAACCTGGCGGACATGTGGATATATATTTTTTTAATTTATAGTTTTATTATTTATATTTTTTATATTTTATATTTTATTTTTCTTATATTTTTATATTATAAAATAAAATAAAAATTATCCACGTGGCAAATACGTGTCCGTCATGTGGCGCTGACCTAACCCACATATTTATGCGAGCATACATGTAGGTGCCACATAAGCATCGATGACTAAATGTGCGAAAATTTTCCACTTACGAGACTAAAATGATAAAAGAGTTCAATTACGGGACTAAAAAAACAGTTTACCCTAAAAAAATTAGTACTCCTTCCGTCTTCCTCTAAGGGTCACATTTACCTTTTGCGCCATTATACTTAACATTAAAAATATCCTTATATTTGTAAAAAAAAAATTGTACAAGATTTTTTTATTAGTATTATAAGATACTAATTAAAGTAATTTTGCAATTTTTTCTTAATTTGCACTACGTTTTGATATAATAATTAGTGTAAACTGTTTATTTAGTCATGTAACTGGACCCCCTTATCATTTTAGTCCCGTAAGTGGAGTTTGTCGCAATCAGTTTTAGTCCTCCGGTGCCGGAGACACCCGCGTGGCTCGCCGGAGGCTACGTGTCCGTCAGGTCAGCGACACCTAGCGGACACGTGGATTTTATTTTATTTTATTTTATTTTTTTAATTTTTTTTAAAAATTTATTTTAAATTTATGTTTAGCTTTATTTGTCTTTTTAATTTTTTTTATTTGGTTCGATTGAAAAAAAAATTTAAAATTAAAATTAAAAAAATAAAATCACGTGTCCGCCAGGTGTCGCTGACTTGGTGGGACACACCTGGCGAACACGTGGCTTCCGGCGAGCCACGCGGGCGTCTCCGGCGCCGGAGGACTAAAACAATGAAAATTTTTCACTTATGGAACTAGTTTGCAACAGGCTCCACTTAAAGGACTAAAATGATAAGGGAGTCTAGTTACGGGACTAAAAAAATAGTTTAGCCTAATAATTAATATTCAAATATCAACATGTAAAAATTAAATGGAACCCTTAGAGCCGAACGGGGTAGTATATAGCAATAAAATAAATACAATATAGATATTACTTTATAATAAATAAAATTTATATAATACAAATAAAATATATATTATTTATAATTAACATAAAATTAATAAATAAGAAGTTTTAATATATACTCCGTCGGTCAAGCAACAAGGGTTATATTTACCATTATTGTACTCAATATTAAAAATATCATTATATTTATATAATTTAGTATACAAATATCATTATATTTGTATTATAAGATACTAATAAAAGTTTTTTTATTTTTTTATCTTGATTTGTACAATGTTTTGATATAATAATTAATATTGAAATATCAACACGTAAAATATAAATATAAGTCTTGTTGCCGGACGGAGGTAGTATATATATAATACTCCCTTCATCTAGCTCTAATGTTTACATTTACTTTTTTCGCATGGATTAAAGATAAAAGTATTTGTATTATAAGATATTAATGAAAGTATTTTAATTTTTTCATCTGGATTTGTACAACACTTCTAATATAATAATTAATTCAAAGATCAACATGTAAAAAGTAAATATAATTCTTGTTGCCGGATAGAGGTAGTATATAGATAATACTCCCTCCGTCTAACTCTAATGTTTATATTTACTTTTTTAACACGGATTATTAAATATTAGTATTTTAATAGTAGTGAGTAGATATAATAGTGTAAAGACCTAATTGTCTTTACTTTTAAATATAAGTGTATAATAAAGTAAAAGTAAGATAGTAAATAAATGTAAAAAAAGGTATTAGTAGTTAGTAGTCGGGTTCATAGTTACTAAAAAAGAAAATGTAAAATCTTTGAATTTGACGGACAAAAATAGAAATATGTAAATATTAAAAGTGAACGGAGGGATTATTAAGAAGAAAGATAGAAATAGAAAAAAAAAAAAAAAAATCAAACGTGTCCTATGTGATGTAATATTTGGAAAAAAAAATTGAAACATAGTGCCAATTTAATTTGAAATGGCAAAACACTTTACTTTAATTTTTTCTTATTATTATTTTTTACTTTTAAATTATTTATAATCTTTTAATTTTTATTTTCAGAAAGAATAAAAATTAATTCCATTACAAAAAATATTAATTTTAGTCCATTTATAATTTTTTTTTTCATCAACTTTAGTTTCATTATAGATAATTTAGCCAAGTTTGATCCTATAGTTAAAAAACAAACACAAAACACTGATGTGGATGTAACATAGTCCAATGTAGCACTTGATATCCGAACATGGATGCGTTTATCAAAATATAACCGTGTTTGTGCATTTACTCTTTTCTAACCAAACATGCACGATCGTGTTTGAAACTTACACGGCCTTGTACAAAAAAAATTAGTCGTATATTTCCTCGTGTTTGTACAAGGTTGTGTTTCGTATGAAAGCGACCATGTTAATTGACATATAGCTTAGGTCTGCCCGTATTGAAATACTACTGTGTTCTGTAATATTTTTTCTTGATACTAACTTTTTTTTTTCTTAATTATAACATTTAAGTATCAAATTTAAGGTTGTTGATATGGTTAAAAATTAAATTATATCAATTTCACAAGTTTAAATTGATGTTAATCAAAGTGATCTAACACAATTTAAATTAAGTTAAAAAATAGTACAAAAACAATACATAAAATAAAAGAAATACATACTTCTAAAAAAAACAAAAAAGAAAAAAAAATGATACTACATATCATCGGTTCGGCCTATCGCATATGCAAACAAGACATCCATATCAATATTTTTGCCACCTTCCTAGACATCTATAGAATCATGTCCAAGTGTAGGTGCATGCGGAACGCCATCATTGTTAGAATATCAGTTAATAATTGAATTGATGAAATTTAATTTTAATTAAATTCGTAATTTTTAGAATCAATTATTCGGTGAGTTAAAATACATGTGGGTTGTATAGTGTTTTTTCATAATTTGGTTTAGGCATATGAATCCGGTAAGCCACAAATGCGCGTGCCACCCGTTCATATAATGACACAAGTAGACGAGTATGTGTTTTAACTCGGGCTTGAAGGTCTTGGTCGTAGTCGTAGGCTTGGGTTTGGTGAATACTGGACTTGACGAAGTATGTTATGCTCTGAAGCTAAATTAAAATAGCAAAATATTTTTTGGACAAAAAATATAGCCAAAATATTGTAATACATGCATGTATGATAAATAGTTATTTTTAAATTCAAAAATTCAAATTAATTATTATCAATAAAATAAATTCTGATGGTTACCAAAAATAATGACCGACAGTTTAGATGGTTATTTGAATTATGGCCGGGGATTATCGGTCATTAAAGACCGGCGGTTTAAACCCGGCATTGATGGCGCCCTGGAGAGGAGTGTCTGAAAAAGCCATCCAAACTCCATTCTTTCCTCCCTCCTCTTGCCTCCCAACGCACTTCTTTTTCTCTTATTTTAGTTTTTCGGAGATCCGAAATATTGAAATGTCATCCAATTTAGAGACAAACGTCATTACCAGGGCGTATTCGTTTTTACGGAAAGAGATTCTATTAAATTATTATTGATATCGAATTTATTTTTATAAATTAATTTGATTATCGAATTTTATTTTTCGATAATTGTTTGATATTCTTGGGATATAATAATTTTCTAACAATCATTTGATGGAACTGAGCGAACTGAGCGATGCATCTCCATGTGTAAATCCTCGATAGCTAACCTTTCAATGGGTATGGTGTCCTGAACCGTAAGATCAGACTGATCACCCTCTTGCTCACCTGAAGGCTAGTCACCCTCATCCATCGACTCATTAGATGTGCTAGGCGAACCATGTGTGGCAGGTGACCTGAGGCGTCGGGGGTTTGAACCCATGACCACGGTCACATATCCAACCTCCACACCACCAGGCCATCCCTTACGGGACAACGTTTTATTCTCTATATTTATAAGATCAAATTTAATTTATTTTCTATCAAATAAATGAAATCAATATTTTATTTGCACTTCATCAATTATATTAATTATTATATAATATCACAATAAAAAATTATCCAAAATATTTTTAAAATTCCTATATAAACATATTTCAACTCTAAAAACAACTTTTTTTTCATTTCAAAAATTTTAAATTCAAATTCTTCCAAAACACCAAAACTACAAAATTATCCGTCTAAATGGAGCAATAAACTCTAAGTTAGATTATTGTAACATGGCTATACAATCTTAAAAAAATTAGCCCACACCTATATTGAAACTAAGGTATCCACCACCTCTTTCACTCCAAGAACAGACAAAACACCCCTTCGATATACTTACCCTTAGGAAGGGTTTATTCTTCAACCTTTCATGTTGTTCCACATGTTCTAATTCATTAAAATTTAAAATCTCATTATTTAGCTCGAACTGAGGAATAGATACCGATGAACTTTCATTTGCATTAGTTTGGCATCTCTTTTACCTTTCCCCTTTGGTACAATTCTTCTGATTTAAAAAATAAAAGCTAGCCAAAAATAAAAATTAATTTTGTAAAATATACTCATGCAACCAAAAATAAATAAATATTTACCGTCCAAACATGCGTATTTTCAATAAAATATAATATAATAAAATTCTTTGAAAAAATTAATATAATAAAAAATAAATTTCTCGAACAAATACTCCATAAACAACATATATGTTGTCCATAAACAACATAGGAAAGAAACATCAAAGATAGCCGTCCATTACTTCCAATCTAAAAATACATATTTAAGTGTGATAAAAAAAATACATTTTATGTCCTTAACTTACAATTTTTACAAACACACACTGCCTATCGCCACTTCTAGTTAGATTGCCATTGTCGCTGCCGGAAACTTTAAAAAATGGGTAAAAACACTACATAAACGATTTTTACAACCCCATGTTCAACCTAAAGAACATCTAATTAAAGTGAAAATTGATTCATACACAGGCGTGTAAGAAACAAAAATAACCTTCTAAATTCCAATACAATATGACTTTGTTATCATTGGACACGGCCGTGTAATAACATGGCATATAAACATGGACGTGTATTTAACCTATATCTCTCGTAATCTGTGTTTTGAATACGGCCGATCCGAAAATACTTGTGAGATCTTTCTCTTGCGAGTCATCTAAAGACTTCTCATCGTCATAATTTTGACATATCACAACAATATGATCTTTATTGAATTCATTATTGTCTACCATATTCTCGTATAAGAATTAATCAATCAAATTTTCTTTTACATTGTTTTCTCATATTAATCAGAATCCTCAAAATCCGACTTATTATAAATTTCATTGTATAATTCTTCATCTTCCATATAATCATGGTCTAACAAACACTTTCCCCCATATCAATTACTGAATCATTTGCACTGTTCATTTTCACAAATAGTATATTTTGTTTACCTACAAAAAATTGCATAATATAACAAAATAATAATAATAATAATAATAATAATAATAATAATAACAATAATAATAATATAGTTTTTACAACTCATACATGCTATGCATATGTACAAATATCATTTTCAAGAGAAGTAAAATAGTTAAATATAGAAAGTACAAAATACAAACAAAAGATGTATGTACAAAAAAAAAATTACTACCTCCGTCGCATAATAAGGATATCATTTAGTTTTTACGTCATTATATTTAATATTTAAAAATATTTTTATATTTGTAAACTTTTACTCTACAAATATAATTATATTTATGATATAAGAAACTAATAGAGATATATTTTTATTTTATTTTATTTTGTACTATATATATTAATATAATAATTAATATTTAAAAATCTATATGTAAAAAGTTAATAGTATTTTCTTTTTGGAACATGGGTAGTATTAGACTTCTCTTTCAATGTAAAATATCAAAAAAAAAAAAAAAAAGGAAATCTAAAAATCATAAAATATAAAAAACATGCAATGTTAGAAGATAGAAGATACATCTTATATTTCTCTTGCAATGTGGAGAAAAAAAAAAAGTATAGGCTACCTCATACTAAAAGACGGAGAAAATAAGCATAAAAATACAAAGAAATATAATTTTACCATGGGCGAGTTGGGGAAGAAAGTTTTTAATCAAAATGTTACAAAACACGACCGTCTATAAATGCAACACAACTGTGTTATAAACATGACATATATAAAATTGAATATACGAATAAAACAACTATGCTTGAAAATAATGGTTTAATATACTTTATTTTTTATTTGAACACGACCATGTTATAATAAAACATAGAAGTGTCTTGATATAGGTAGGCCTAAGTCATGTTCTAGTTAACACGACCGTGTGCGAAGACAGAGAAATATTGACCCTTATTTTGTACATAATCCTATAAATTTCGAACACAACTATGTATTTTGTCAGAGTGCTGCTAACTATTGAAATACGATCAACCATATTTTGACAAATTCGGTCGTATTCGGTCCAGATTAGATGCCACATCAGACTCATTATGTCCACATGAGCATTATTTGTTAATTTTTCAATAGTGAGATCAAAATGATTAAAATTTTCTATAATGAGTTTAAAATCGATGGTTTTTTTATACAAAATTGATATTTTTTTTTTGTTAATTTTGATTATTTTCCTCTTATTGTTCTTTTTTAAAGACATTGCGATGTAAAAAATAAATAAAGTAAAATATATAAAAGTTTTTGTTTTTTTGATAAATTATACAAAATCAAATGTTATGTTCTTTTGTGAATTTTTCACAAGATTTTATTATTTATTTTTATATTTTTTTCTCTTAAAATATTAAATCATAAAAAAGAATTATTTTTCAATTTTTTATATTATAATATAAATTAATTTTATATGTAAAATATTATATCAATACCTATTTATATCATATCAAATAATTATTAAAACTAAAATTTTCATATAAAAAATTCAAATAAAAAATAATTAAATCCACGGACAAACGCACCTAGTTAATAGTACTCCCCTCCGTCCCACCTACCATGTCCATGTTGCCGTTTCAGTTTGTCTCACATCTCATGGAAAATGATTACAAATCTTAATATCATTTTAAATTTTTTATTTTAATTTTTTAAAATTTTAATTAAATTAATTAGTTATGTTAATCTTAATCTATAATAATTTATATTATGAGTTAATTATTTTTACTAACACATTCTTAATTATCTACTAATTATACTTATCTTAAATTCTCGTGTCTACAGTAACCAAGACTTTCAATGTAAGATGGATGGAGAATATATTAGGGTCAGCTTCTTCACTACTTTTACGATTATTTTTTTTTTTCAATTTTTATTATAACAATACTCATTAGCTTTAATAAAAAATATAGCTAGTATAAATTTATTATCTTTCTCAAGAAATAATTACCTTCACCAAAAATAATAAAAATAATTAAATATTATCTAAATTTTTTTGAAAATTTAAAATTTAACCTAAATTATCTATAAATATATATAAAACTCATTAACCTATTATACGTTAAGATCATATTTTAAAATTATTTTTTGCTCTCTACCTTTTCTTATTCAATTTTTATATTAGTAAATTATATGCTTCAAATAATTAAAATTTATATAGATTACTATTTAAAAGTTAAAATATAATATTATACTATAAAAATGTTATTAGACAATAAAAATGTGTACAAATACATAAATTATTTTTATATATCATTATATAATAAAACTATATAAAAACAAATAAATTATTTTGGGTCTTATAAAGTTGTAATGATAATGAATTAAAGGCAATTTATTGTAATGAGTGATATAAAAATAGTTTGAATGTTAAGTTGATACGACGTGAATGAATGATAAAAAAAAAAAAAAAAAAATACTCTCTCCGACTTACAATATATTACACAAATATCATTATTTTTATATTAAAGAATATGAATAATTTATTTTACTATATTCCAATATAATATTAATGGAACAAGTAGTTTGAAAGTTCAAATGAATATAATATGAATAAGAGACTTAAAAAAATAATAATAATTAAGTAGAAATAATAAATATAAGAGATGCTAAGCCCAAACCCAAGGAGATATGGGCCGACTCGTGAATGAAAAGGATTATTGGATGGGATCGTTTTATTTCATTTGATTGGTTGAGTTCAGTGTCAATCTGTCTGGTTTCCATAACTTAGCCGCCACAAGACCAGAGACCCTAAAAACCACCATCAGCTCAGCGATCGACGGTGCGACGCCATGTGGTCTGCTTTGCGAAGCCGAGCTCTGTACTCTTTCAATCACCAGTGGATTAGCCTTGGATCCTCGTCTTCTGTTTCTTCAACATTCTCTCGCCCTTGCGCTTTTTCTGCCCTGGGCAGCAGCGACGGGAATACTAAGGAGCTGTTGAGTTTGTCGGAAGTTCAGAAGATACTCAACGATGTTGGTGCAGATGACGTGAAGGTAATTCCAGCGCCAAGCCGCTGTGAATTTACTGATTATATGGTTATTGCCACTGGCCGATCTCCGTGGCACGTGCGGAACATCTCTCAAGCGCTAATTTACCAGGCAGGTTCGTTCACCTTTCAATTCCATATTTTGTGTAGATTTTGGGCGAGTTCGTGTATTGCCAACATCATATGATCAGGCAGAGTATGCATTGGTGAAGATTGGGCGTTAGTTTTCTACAGAAATGAAATGTGATCAAGATAGCACATAATTTTGAAATCCATCCACTCTGTAGCACTGGGCATTTTTCTTAGCTTCGCTTCGGCAGTTGGAGGTTCACTGTTAAATTTTAATTAATATCGGATACATTAGCTAAATAAATGTGGTTGTTACTGCATTTAGAGATTTTTAGAGATAGGCGAGTCAGCAACTTCTATGTTCCTGTGAGTTTCTGGTGGTAGAGTAGTCCTACCCCTGATTTTTCTATTCGTTGAACCCTCGGGTATCCCCTATTGTTCTTCATTCATTGAATAACCCCACGTATGGCACGAGTGAGGAACGATGCTCATCAGTGAGAGGATGGCTTAGTAGTGATATGATCTCTCACTATAAGAGGAGAGGAGCCTGTCAATATAGAAGCTTGCACGGGGCAGTAGTATGTACTTTGAGAGAGTAAGTGAATGGAGTGCTTTTGTGTGAGCATTTTTGTTAGAATAACACTGCAGGATGCAATCTAAGCTGAGTTTAAGTTTGCTAGAAGAAAATAAAAAGCATGAATGGCTCAATTGCTAAGTAAACTTGTGCCTATCAAAAGCACTGATCAAGAAGTTTATATCCTTCGGTTGGCAGTGTTTAGGCACTAGTAATTTCATTCTACAAAATCTAAATGTCGAATATCTTCCTACTTCCAATTTCACACACAATGATCCAAAGCATGTTTATTCAACTTTGTACCAACTACAAAGCAAGATATAATATCTTGGATATTCTTCATGGTTCCACTGGCTGCATAGACTCTGGTGTATCTGTTCATATACTGGTAGTTTGGAGTATTATATCTGTGAAGTTTGGAAACCACTTTTGTAACACTTCTCAAATGTGCTGAGGTTCTTGTAGTACTGTAATTCATCTTTCAGTATCTAATAGATTGTGTGGTTGTAGGTTTGGGGTTTCAAATGTTTTGAATATTAAATTTATTTTTTTATTATAATGCTATAAAAAATTAAAAAAATATGTGTTTGATTTGATGCCTTTATAGAAAATAATAGCGGGACAGTGGAATTTGGGTTTGAAATCCACAAACAAATGCAATATAACTGATCGACTGATGTTAGATAAAATCCTATTTGGTCTGTCTTTGCCTATGTGGGGGTTGTTGCAATTGAGTTTATACATCTCATCTCCTTATGCTGTACATTTTGATCCATAGTTTTGGTTGCATCCAGATTCCTCAATGTGGACTAAAATTTCTCAAAAGTGACCTATTAAAGTATGTTTATTTGGCTGATTGTCCTCATATAAAACAAATGATTGAATTTGGCAGTATATTTTTGTTCGAATTGTCAGGTTAAGCAAAAGCAGAGAGGAGCAAAGAGGATGTTGCTGCCTACAGTTGTAGGGCAAGAGGGAGGGAAATGGATTGTCATTGACTCCGGTATACTCATTCTTTTCTATAAATTTCTCTTGTTCAAAAATCTGCCCTCTGCTAGATATATACCGCCATATTGTGTTCTGATTTCTTAATCCAAGATCAGTAAGTAGAGTTAAGCATCTCAGTGATTAGAGTTAAGTCAGTTTATAAGCAGCATGTTTCTCAAATAGTGATGTATCTCTTAATGCAAGTTTTCTCTTTTTGTAGGGTGTTAACAATACTCCTTTGAATGTGGTTAGAAGATTTAGGATGTGGAATAATATTTTCAAGGGTTTTTCAGTTCTTTTTATTATTTTGGTTGGCTGTTTGTGACGATAAAATTATGTTGAAGCTAGGTCCATTAGGGATAAGGCCCTGTTTGTTAGCTATTCTTTAATATTTTAACTAATCTAGAGTCTGCTAGGTACGCTGATTGTTCATGCTGTTGACGAGAAGGCAAGAGCTTATTACAACTTTGAAGGGCTGTGGACTACAAACACTACAAATGTGGAACGCACTGAGGTAAATTTGTTATCATCCAATTACATTTTGTAATTCTGAAGTAATCAAATAAAATTAACATGCTTCTACTATCAACAAGTTTGATAGGGCATTTGAATTTTTAAACTTGGAGCATTTGTGTTCTTATGTTTGGAATGTATGCAGGATTTGGAAGAAATATTTGTCAAGGTTCGCCGTAAAAATAATTCCAAGAAAAGACCATCAACTGATGCATAGTGAAGGAACACACATATAGCAGAGGTGAATGAACCTCCTTTTGAGACCAACGACTAATGATTAATCTGTAGCAGATCAAAGACCCTATTCTTGTAATGTTCAAGTGGAGCTTGCGATGTATGGTTCTACATTAGTATCCCGAATCAGGTTAGTTTATTTCATATTTGTTTGTTCGGCTCTTGATTTGATCGATAGGCACAATAAACACTCACTATTTACTTTTAGCCTGTGCTGTGTATTTTGGGCTGTAAAGAAAGCTAATAACCCTCAACAATATAGAAGACAAAAGGACACCAAGAAGAAAAATGGCAGTGAGCTCTAACTTTTCATATATTTCACTCTTTATATCGTATCAGATCAATATATGCTCCTCTTATACACTGTAGTTTAACAAACAACTCAACCAAATCTACCAGAAAGTGACCTTAAAACAGTTAGTCACTCATTAATTTAACAAATTGTACAACTACTTCTGGGAGGATCTGCCTTATGGTAGTTGTGTGGTCACAATGATATATATGCATAATTCAAATAGATATTGGAGCACTCTTAAGTAGTATTAGCATTATTACTTTACATTCCCCCTTTAGGAGGAATCGGGACGGAGATCTCAAATATAACTTGACAATAGTGGATTTGAAAACTACCAGCAGAAAGAGGGTTTGTTAAAGCATGAGCAAGCTGCTAGATGGTTGTAATAAGGCCAAGTTAGAAGTGACTAGGGACAAAGTGACAATTAATATTCCCACATGCTTGGTCATGAACAAGATTCGGATACATAAGCCAAAGAAGCTCAGAGTATATAGTGCTAGCAAGTGCCTTGTATTCAACCTCGACAAATGACTCAGAAACAATGGACTTGCTTCTTTGTTTTTCAAGAGATGAAACACAAACTAAAAACTACATAGTGAGTGACTTTGCCCAAATTCTTAATTATGAATTTCTGATTCAAGAATTCTTTAGCTACAACTGTGTGTGAGTAGGAAAAACAAATGTCATCCACATAGATAATCAAGATAGTATGACAATGATCACGATCAAGGATGAAAAGACAATGATCATGTATGGATTGAGTTGAGCCATTTCCAATGATTTTGATTTTGTAGTGAATTGGCGAAGAGTTTGTTTGAGGCCATATAGAAGAAACTTTTTGATCCAACAGGCTTACCAACATGGATGTCACTTCCTTGTGGTGGGCAGCATATAGAGTTTTTCGTCAAGATGACCATAGATGCATTATTAGCATTAAGTTGATGAACCTCCTACTATTTTATAGAGGCAATGTCAAGATGTAACAATATTACTCTAAATTTCAGGACTCATAATTGTTTATTTTATTTTTTAAATAAAAAAAAAATTGGAGTTTATAAAATAATTTCTCTGTCTTTCTATTACAATAAGAAATAAAGATAATTGATAAAATTTCAGTCTCGTTCCAAACGACTACCACTCTTTATCCTAGACACTCTTATGTATATATGTTAATAAAACCTAATTATAAGCCAAGCCAGTAAGTAAAAAATATTTTTTTGTCAAAAAAAGGAAAAAAATATATATATATATATATATATATATATACACACTGTGGTGAAAACATAAGGGGTGTGTTTGTTTGGAGGTTTGGATTTTGAATTGGGATTTGAATAGTAAAAATTTTGAATTTGAATAGTTGTATGATGTGATATAAATAGGTGTTGATGTGATGTTTTGAACGTAAAATTGATTATAATATAAAAAATAAAAAATAAGTGTTTGATTTGATATTTTTTTGGGGAGGGGAAATGAAATGAATAGTAGAAATTAAATCCAATTCCCCAAACAAACACACCCAAGGTATAATTATTTCATGTATACTATAAAAAAAAGATCGAAAAAACACTATTATGTACTTATACTAATCAATACTTAGTCTATAATTTTGACCAAAAGGATCGAAAACAACTTTCACTAGTGTTATCACAGAGAAATCACCATTGGCGGCCTACTCGTAGTTGGGTTGATCGGATGAAATATGATGGTGGATTTCCCGGAGAACTCAAGAAAACTTCCAGCTGATGTCTAGCGGGTGGTGCCTGAGATGATCAAAATTATGAAACATTTGATGAATAAAATATAGGATAAGGCAAAATATAAAAACTTGGAATTAAAAGAAAGCTAAAATAACTATAATGCAAGAAAATTGTAAATAAAACAAGGTGTAGGCAAAGAAAAAAAAACAGAAAAAAGAAAAAACATAGTAAAAGAGAAGAGAAATAAAAAAGAAATGTAAGACGTTTTGATTCATTCTCTGTTTATTCTTCAAATAGCTCGTGTATTCGACTATAAGAGGGACTCCTCTAATAGTTAGATAGTTAGTTAGGAAAGCGACGAAGCCTTGGGATTGGAAAGGTAAAATTCAATTTCTATTGGAAAAACAAGTATTCATTCAACTTATAATACTGTTGAACAGTGATTTCAATGGCCTTTGCTATCGCTCGACTCTTCCCCTAATCCAACCCGGGAACGGACCGGAGGGAACCGCAGCATGGGGAATGTCCGCGTCTCTTTGCAAGGCTCATTTTGAGTTGTTGGTCATAGGGCGGGCAGCCTTCAAGACTGTGGGAATTAGGAACTCACTTCCATTCTAATGCCCACTGTCTGACCTAACATTAAGGAATTAAGGAATATGAGGAATTCTTAAGAAAGTGTATTTTGAAGTAGCTATGGAATTGCTATTCTTTTGTGTAACCTTCTTCCTTATATTTATCCTTTTTTCGTGTAACCTCCACCTTCAAATTAATTTATCTTAAGTTGCATTGTTAGCAATATCATTATTAGCTTATCATACAATCCCCGTGTTTTCACCTTTAATTGGTCTTTAAATTTCATGATATTTTTGCCTCTTCAATTGAATAGTGTCTCTTCCTGCATAGCCAATCAAAGCGGCTGCTCTTCAGAGATTAGATCCAATCTAGCTCCTCTTGCTCGCGAGGTGGTAGCCCTTTCTTCCGACAAAGGCAGCCTTGGGAATGGTAAGTTCCTTGAAGATCTGATAAATGACATGCTCCCGGAGAATCTATCCCCTAACACAATCTTCCTTCTCGGGGAATTCTTTATTGTTGAGGAGATATTTTTTCTTCACTAACAACCTTTGTAAATATTGCCTCATCCAAGTATGACATAAGCTTCCTAACTTTTCGAAAGAAGATCTTGAAGGTGATATTCCCGGCATTAGAATCCCTTCAACGTTTAGTGGATGACGAGCAAGAAATCACCTTAAATGACAACCTCTTTTTATACCAAAAAGCTGAAAGAAGTAGCTCTTTCCTGTCCCCTAACATCATCTTAGGAAAATAATCATCTAATGGTCTTGTTGGTTACTACGATGCACACTTTCAGATCCTTCCTAGGCACAAAAGGTGTCAAAACATGTGGAGATGTAAACATCTTTTTCAATATGAGAAGGCCTAAATTTATTAGCATCACTAAAAACAGTCCTAGAACTCCATGTCTCTAGAATTGATAGGTATTTGACGATACCGTGTATAGATAGCCATCTAAAGAGCGGAGAATTCATGGTTAGCTAATTTCTCCAAGCACTGACCCAGACAAGGTAGAGGAAAATGGTCCTTATGCGTCGCAGTGTTTAGCCTCCTATAACCAAAGCAAACTCGCCAGCCAATAATGAGCCACATCATGAAAACATCCATTTTATCATTAACTTGCATGGACCCATCTTTTGTAGGCACACTACACTACTTGTATTGGGTTCATCCATTCGCTCTCAAATATCGGGAAAATCATGTCATCATCTGATAATTTCATAACTTGTTTCTTGGGCACTCTTTCTACATATGTTGTTGAACCTTCACTGAGGTTTTGCATGGTCTTCCAGACAGATCATATGTCATACATGCAAGTAGTAAGACTAATACTCTTAATGTCACCAATCTTTTAGGCGGGAGCTGCTTTGTATTTCCTCAAAATCATGATAAGTTGCTTCTTCTATTCTTCATGAAGCGAGCTAGAGATGATTACAGAAAATATTTCAGCTTTGCAGAGATACACATATTTGAGGTGGTCCGGGACCTCTTCTTTAAATAACTTTTGAGTTCCACCTTCATTAAATTGAGATTCACGAGCAGGATTACGAATATCTTCATGAGTCACAATATTGCTGCCATCGGATTATTCCTTTACTTTGAGTAGTTCCTCTAGATGAGATGATCAACTTCATGAGAGTTTCAAAAACTGATTTGCATATCGGATCACAATTGATGGTTGAAACATAATTTACTTCACATAATATTTTAGAGTGCAAGGTCATTGTCCTTGGGATGCATCATCATTTTATTCATACGAAACATCATGTTATCCTTACTAAGTGTTAGTTCGCCTTTTGCGACGATAATATTTGCATATGCAATCGCCAAACATGGTTTACCTAAGAATTCTAATAGACTTATCAGGGAGTTGGATGATGGTTTTGTATGACATTAAGTCAGACACCCTCATCTATTGTACATAATGCAAGCATAATTAATATTAATGTTAGTGCCTAGATTGCATAATGTCTTTTGGGCCCTACAAAAAATGATACAACTCCTAGAATCATCTAATTTTGGGGGAAGTTTTGCTTTTAAAATGCCATTTCATGTCTCGGTCATATGTACTTGTGCAGTGGCTTCCAAAATTGTTTGTCGATTTGAAATGATATTATTGAAGAACTTAGCATAGATTGACATTTTCAACAAAAGTATAGATGATAGGAATGACCATGTAAGGTTAATATAATACGTGTGCAAATTTCAAATTTTTTATCTTCCTCATTTCTTGTGAGTTGTTGAGGATGCAAGATTCATGAGTTCACCAGCAAATCTTTCAGTCTTTACTTCTTATAGAGTTGTCTCTTCATTACATATTTGCAATAGACTGATGACGACGGGTTATGAAATTGAAAACAGGAGAAAGATTTTTACCATGCATGCTACAAAATATACATACATATTTTGGTCGACAATCTATCCACCTTCCAGAATATCAAAATATCCCATGGACTTAGGCAAGCCAGTGATAAAAACCATCGTCTTCATAAGTTGCATTTTAAAATTTGTAATGATTTTCTGGAGAGACTGTCTCATACTTTGCCTCCTGACAGACAATGCAACAGGAAACATAATCGTGAACTATCTCATACATCCGTCCACATAATAGATTTTTGGCTAGTCTGCAGTAGGTATGGTAAATACTAGAATGCCCCATTTTTTTAAAGGCATGGAACTCCTCAATTAAACATGGGATCAAACTAGCACTATCAGAACATGTCTAATTTTCGAAAAAAAGACTATCATC